GGAAGTCAGGGCAAGAACTCAAGGCAGGAACTGGAGGCAGGAGCTGATGCAGAGGTCATGAGCGGTGCTGCTTACTGGCTTGCTGCTTATGGCTTGCTCAGCCTGCTTTCTTACAGAATCCAAGAGAATGCCTCTATGGTTAGACAGATGCGTGTACGGTTCTGGATATGTGTAGTCACTTATTTCAGATGTATACCCAGAGGTGAAATTTCTGGACCACAAGGTAGTTCTATATTCAACTCTTTGTGGCATCAGAGCCAAATCTCACATTCCCACTGGCAATGTCCAAGACTTCCAGCTTGTTCATCTCTCCACCGATGCTCGTTGTTTTATAAGAACGCTTCAAACCATGGCTGCCCCAGTGATGCTCTCTGCATGTCTCTGATGACCAGTGCCTGCAGTCATCTGCATGTGCCATTGGTCTTTTTAGGAAGGACACCTATTGAAAATCCTTTGTCCGTTTAAAATCGTGTTCTTTGTGTTTTCATGTTGCCAAGTCGCGAGAGTTCTTGATGTATCCTGGCTATCAGAACTTTATCAGTGATGTAACTTCCTGATGTGGGTGCCGGAACTTGGATCCTCTGCAAGAGTGGTGTGTGCTAACTGCAGAACTGGCTTTCTAGCCCCAGGTAACATATCTTATAATCAAGTCACTAGAATAACCCCGAGCTGCTACGTGGATCAACTTCACAGGACTGTGACAAAATATCCAAGGTGATTAACTCATTAAGAGAGAGATTTATTTGGTGAGGGCTTCAGAGGTTCAGGGTTAAGACTGAGTGGCTCTATTGTCTAGGCTTACAAATGCTGATGTTAAAGAGCTCGTTAGAGCAAAGGGCTTTCTTCCAGAGCCAAGAGGCACACAGACACAGAGCCTGGGGTCCACAGTCACCTAAACACTTCTGATAAGTCCCACCTCTTAAAGGTCCCCAAACCCTTCCAAACTGTTACCCTGGGTACCAAGCCTTCACCACGTGGTTTTACAAGGGACACACTTAAACCATGGCACAATTGTCAATCTGAATTTTTCTCTCACAGCCGTCAGGAGCTGCCTCAGGATGTACCCGGCTCCAGACACCTTCAGCCTCACCCTGACCACACTGTCCCCATACCCTGTGGTCTCCAATCTGAAAAATACTTTGTTCCTAACTTGTCTTTTGGCTTCTACTCTGTCCTGTTATGATCTGTTCTCGCTCCAATAACCAGAACAACCTCTAGAAACATGCATCAGAATATGTCTCTTATGTGCTTTATTCTTTTCAGAGCCCTTGACATCACATCGAGGCTCACGTTAAAACCCAGCAGCGCAGCCAGGCTTCTTCTCTGCTGCATTATTTAGTCTCCCCCCACCTCTGCTATAGTTCAAAACCCCTCAAAGGCTTCCGGGTCAAAGGCTTAGTCCTTAGCATGGCGCTGGAACTTGTGGGACCATTAAAAAATGGAGTCTAGTGGGAGCTTGTTAGGCCATTAGAAGAGGATAGTGGAACCCAGGTCCTTTCTTCTTCTCCTCTTCGGCTTTTTGGCCATGAAGTGAATAGTTTTGTTGTATGCCGTACTCCCTTTGTTATGCCTTGCATTGGGGGCTCTATACTGTGGGTCCCCAAACAACACTTGATGGTTTAGTGTATGCATATGTGTATGCATGTTCCCATGGGTGTGGGAACACATATACCTATGTGTGTGTGTGTGTTTGTGTGTGTGTGTGTGCATATGGAAGCCCATAGGAAGCTGGCACCAGGTGTCTTCCTCAGTTGAACCTGAACCTGGGTCCTCTGTCTTTGGTTCCCACACATCACAGCTTTTTTATGTGCGTTTTGGGGATTTGAACTCCATCCCTCACCCTTGCGTCATGGGTACTTTATTTGTTGAGGCATCTTCCAGTCTGACCTTTTCTCTTTGTAAGTTGGTCATCTTGGTTATTTGTTGTAGGGATAGAAAACTGACTCATATCAGCTCTGACCCTGCCCTTTAGTTCCTGCCTGGAAGTCTTGGGCAGTGCTTGCTCTCCTGTCTGGTGAGCACCCTCCACCCCGCCTTATCCTCTGAGTGGTGTTGTCTCTGAGAGAGACTTGTTAAGATGCAAGATGTTCACAGAGAGGTGAAACAAGGGGAAGGGGACACTCCCTCCTGCATGGGGAACTCAGGAAGGAGACAAATCAAAGGCTTCAGGAAGTCCCTGAAACTTAACGCATTTACTAGGCCCCTCCCTGCCAGAGCATATATAAGTAGTTAAGACTTCCGGGAGATGGTCTCAGACCAACCATTTTTTGTTTTGTATGTTTTCTGGACTTAGGCATTTTATTGCAGCCGCACAGAAAGTGTCAGACAATGACCTTGATGTGGTATGTGAAGAAAATGTACCGGGTGAATAGTGTGAGCCCTGGGAGGGGAAGAAAGGGAGTTTGCAGGGGTGTTTGGGGTAGCCCCAAGAGGAAGACAAAGGCTGGAGCAAGATCTTTGGGGTCTGAGAAGGAAAAAGGGAGGGAAGAAGGGAACAGGAAGTAGAAAGATCCTAGGTTGAATTCCAAAGGCAGGTGAACTCCCAAGTTCTGTTGCCTCTGAGGAAAGTGTGGCTGAGGGTGGAGAGGCAGGCAGGGTGGGGTGTGTCCTTGCATGCCGTGTCCGGCTTCTGCACCGAGAGAACACTAGCTCCTAGCAGCAATGCTCAGAATGATTGTTGAATAAGCACTCACATGCTGCATGACTCCTGCCGCTGTTAATGAGATGAACTAGACCTCTGTCTCCTTTCCTGACTTCCAGGCCATCCCTGAGCCTTGCTTCCCGGCTCCGGGCTCAAGCCCAGCTGAAGGACCACTGATTTTGATGTTGGCCTGTGTTTCATCTGCGACTTGTCGGTGTATCTCCCCATCTCTCAGGGGATCACTGACTCCATAACAAAACTGCCCCCCTTTAGTTTTCACTAGCAGCCCTCAGAATCTTCTAGAAGCTCACTAGTGATTCCTACAAAACGCCTGAAAGCTTTTCCCTGTGTTCGCCCTCCCGCCCCACCTCTGCCAGCTGCCGCAGCCTGGTGGGGAGCCCTGTGCAGGCCCTACGTCTCAGGACTGACAAGAAGGGCGTGTGGGTTTATTTTTTTAATTTTATTTGTTAGACGCAATAGGATGTCTAGACAAGTCCATCTTTTCTGCATTTGACGTGGAATCTTTGTTACTCTGGAGAAGCTAGAATCTAAAACAGCTTGAGCGGATGAGACCCCACCAGAGAGGTCTGTGTCACAGTAAGATCTTTATTCTGACGGGATCTTTAATAACCCTGGGCCAATCCAGCTTTTTTTTTTATTCCTCCCACATGAAATTAATTTATTGGCTGTATGGTTCAGACGTCATTTGGCTCCCACTTCGGCTTGTACACCCTAGCCTCTTTTGGAAAAGATATATTATTCTTAAGAATGAATGTCTTGTAATTCTTTTGTGTCGTTTGACTCTGTGGTTCCATCAGCTTCCTTGAGGGCTGAGCAACTACCTCTGAGTCTTATAGCCTTGTTATGTGAGTGCATGCGTGCTTGACGGAGCTGGGGGAAGTGTGAAATGGGGCTTGAGAAAGGCTGGAAAGTTGGTGTGTGTGTGTGTGTGTGTTTATGTGTATGTATGTGTATATGCATGTATGTTTGTGTGTGTATGTATGTGTATGTGTGTGCATGTATATTTCTGTGTTTATGTGTATGTGCATCTGTGTGTGTACATGTGCATGCATGAGCATGTGTTAACACTGACACACGAATACAGAGAAAGATGGCTGAGAAAATAACCCTAACACTCTCTACATGGTTGTGGTTGCCCAGATTGAACATCATCTCAGTGTCCCGCCAAGAGGAGTACCCAGAGACAGGTGGCCAGATTTGAACCCCGATTCTTCCCTGTACTGGTGTGACTTTGAATGTGTTAGTTTGTCACCCTACGGCCTTGATTTTCTTACTTGCAAATGGGACTCATAAAAATGCCATGGGCGGATGAAATAGGTCCATCTGTACGCGGCCCTGGCAACAGCGCCTGGCGAGTGGCAGGCACTCTATAAATGTCAGCTGATGGGGTCATGGTGACCTCCTGTGGCTGCTTTCCTTGTGATGGGCTAATTGCCTTGTTTGGGGAGGAGGCCTTCCCCACGCCCTGTTCCATTTGATTTAAGGGAGGCTACATGTTGATATTTATTTACGTCCCATCTGGCTCCCATACCAGTCCCCACAGGAGTCGCAGCACTGTGCCAACCAGACCCTCAGTGAGTTTCCCAGCATCCTGTGTGGTCTGCCCTCCCTGCTCTGGAGTCAGCCTTGTCTGTGTGTACGCACATACTCTTGCCCTCCCTATTCTCGCCTACCCGCGGTCTATGCTGGTTGAATCTACACTCCCGCATGCCCACCTTAAACCTGGCCTGTTTCGTGAGAGGCCCAGACTCTAATTGGGTCTGGTTTGCTCTGGAGCCGTCCCTGGAAGACAGAAGTGGTAGGCTACTGTCTTCTAGAATCTTCTGGACCAGGAGGACCAGGCAGGGGCTTCTCTACATCTGTTAAATGAAATAGATAAGATCTCCTTGTGTAGTGGTTTGAGTCAGAAATTGCTCCCTCCAGAACAGACATGCTTTGGGTCTTTGTGAGATGTCTGGCCCATGAGGGCTCTACCCTCATCAGTGGATTGATCCATGGTGGATTCATGGCCTATTTTGTTTTGTTTTGAGATAGGGTTTCTCTGCATGGCCTTGGATGTCCTGGAATTAGCTCTGTAGATCAGGCTGGCCTCAAACTCACAGAGATTCACCTGCCTCTGCCTCCTGAGTGCTGCGATAAAATTTAACCATGTATACATATGTTAAAATTATTTCTTACTTTGAGATGGAACATTTTCATCCTTTGAGGATGTCATCCATGCAGACAGTGTATTTGAGGTCACTTCTCCCCAACTCTTCCCAAATCCACTCCATCCCTTCCCCTTCCAACTTAGTGTCCTCTTTTAAAACTTTTATTTACTTATTTTTATAATCCACAGAGTTCAATTTGTGCTGGCTAAATACTCAGGGTTGTGGGGCCACCCACTGGAGCATGGTCAGCCAACAGGAGCATATCCTTAAAGAAAACTCTCCCTCCCTTGGAAGCCATCAACTCTGAATAGTGGTAAGTTACCTGTGGGAGCTCCGGAGACCCTCTCCTCCCTATGGTAGGAAGTGAACCTGGTTGACACTGTTCCTGCAACCACAGCTGCTTTGTGTGCTGTGGCCTTGTCATGTGTGTGTGTGCGGTCTTGTCATGTGTGTGTGTGCTGTGGCCTTGTCATGTGTGTGTGCTGTGGCCTTGTCATGTGTGTGTGCGGTCTTGTCATGTGTGTGTGCTGTGGCCTTGTCATGTGTGTGTGCTGTGGCCTTGTCATGTGTGTGTGTGCGGTCTTGTCATGTGTGTGTGCTGTGGCCTTGTCATGTGTGTGTGCTGTGGCCTTGTCATGTGTGTGTGCTGTGGCCTTGTCATGTGTGTGTGTGCGGTCTTGTCATGTGTGTGTGCTGTGGCCTTGTCATGTGTGTGTGTGCTGTGGCCTTGTCATGTGTGTGCTGTGGCCTTGTCATGTGTGTGTGTGCTGTGGCCTTGTCATGTGTGTGTGTGTGGTCTTGTCATGTGTGTGTGTACGGTCTTGTCATGTGTGTGTGCTGTGGCCTTGTCATGTGTGTGTGCTGTGGCCTTGTCATGTGTGTGTGCTGTGGCCTTGTCATGTGTGTGTGCTGTGGCCTTGTCATGTGTGTGTGCTGTGGCCTTGTCATGTGTGTGTGCTGTGGCCTTGTCATGTGTGTGTGCTGTGGTCTTGTCATGTGTGTGTGCTGTGGCCTTGTCATGTGTGTGTGCTGTGGCCTTGTCATGTGTGTGTGCGGTCTTGTCATGTGTGTGTGTGCTGTGGCCTTGTCATGTGTGTGTGTGCTGTGGCCTTGTCATGTGTGTGTGCTGTGGCCTTGTCATGTGTGTGTGCTGTGGCCTTGTCATGTGTGTGTGCGGTCTTGCCATGTGTGTGTGTGTGTGCGGTCTTGTCATGTGTGTGTGTGTGCGGTCTTGTCATGTGTGTGTGCTGTGGCCTTGTCATGTGTGTGTGCTGTGGTCTTGTCATGTGTGTGTGTGCGGTCTTGTCATGTGTGTGTGTGCGGTCTTGTCATGTGTGTGTGTGTGGCCTTGTCATGTGTGTGTGCTGTGGCCTTGTCATGTGTGTGTGCTGTGGTCTTGTCATGTGTGTGTGTGCGGTCTTGTCATGTGTGTGTGTGTGCGGTCTTGTCATGTGTGTGTGCTGTGGCCTTGTCATGTGTGTGTGTGCGGTCTTGTCATGTGTGTGTGTGCGGTCTTGTCATGTGTGTGTGTGCGGTCTTGTCATGTCCCTGGTCCTGTTTTACTCGGGTCCTCCCCAACCTCTTACTTGTACATTTCTGTCCCCTCTTCCATGTCAGTCCCCAAGTCTTTGGGAAGGGCTGATGTTCTCTCCTCTTTGATCAGTTATGCCTTTGAGGGAAATTTTAGACCCTGCCTGATTCTGATTCTGTCCGCCAAGAGGTGAGGACAGCTCTGTTCTACTCTCTGCATAGTGATGTTTAGCCTCACAACAGTTCCAGAAACAATGGGGCTGATTGAGCATGGTTTGAAACCTCGGAAACCGTGAGCCAAAACAAGCCCGCCTTCTTAGTGCTGATCTTCTTAGGCACTTCTTCACACGGTTAGAGAACAGACTGACATATTTTATCATGCTGAATTGAGTATAACTCATTTTGAGACAGTTGTTTAAAATGCCTGTTGGTCTGAGACTAACCTGGGATGCTTAGTAAGACTTTCTTGACTCCCCAATTTCGAACGACTAAGACCAATCAACCAATCAATAAGAAACTTCTTCAAACCAATTAAGTTTTGAATTCAGATGTGTTAAAAGTCACTCCTTTCAGTATACTGCTCTACATATTTAGACAAACATGACCCCTTGACTCATTACCATCATCATTAAGATATTGTATGGACCCACCAACCCCAAACACTCTTAAAGTCCTTTGTCATCGAGCCCTTCCCACACCCTTTCCTCTTGGTAACTGCTGTGCTTTCTGGCTGGTTTTGCCAGCCTGTGTTTAGTGTTTGGTTTAGCATCCCAGTGGTTCTCACTCAGCAGAACACATTTCAAATTTGTCCACATAGTGTCTATCACTACTTTGTTCATTTTCGTTGCTGGATAGTATTCCACGATATGGATGCTTTATAGTTTGTTTGCATGTTAGGGTAGTTATGCATAAGTTTATTGTAAAATATTTGGACTCAATTTCCATTTTCTAGCAATGCAGGGATCCGACAGAAAGATACTTCAGGGGTCCATGGAAGGCAGCACCAGCCAGACATTGCAGTAAGTTTCCCCAAACAGCTTTCCTATTTTGAATATATGCAAATTCCAGTTGTTCTTCATCCCCACTAGCATTTGGGGCTCTGTGTTTTATTTTTGTGTTTTAGCTAATGCACCAGGGATACAGTGGCATCTCATTGTGACTTTAATTTGCTTTAATGTCTAACAATATTACACACCCCTTATATATGCTTATTTGATATTTGTCCATGCTGGCTAAGTATCTGTTAAAAGTTTTGTTGACTTTTTATTAGGTTGTTTATTTTCTCATTGCTGGGTTTTGAGAATTCTTTATAACAATCTGGATTCAAATCCTTCCTCAAATATGTGACTTGCAAATATTTCCTTACAAGCTGTGGCTTGTCTTTTAATTTGCTGAACGTTGTTCCTTGTAGAGCAGCCGTTTTTAATTCCGATGGAGTCCAAGCCTTCATTCTTTTCTGGATTGTTCTGGTGGTACCGTTCCAGCAGTTTTTAATTTCATTTTAATTTTCCTCAGACTGAGGACAGTGTTAGGGTGTGGCGTCCAGGCGGTGGCTTTGTGGGGAGCTGGCTTCTGCTCCACAGCCCTCCCTTGGTACAACCCTCCCACACACTGTGCCTTCCTGTCTGCGTGGCCACTTCCTTATGGCGTCTTCTCATTCTGGGAGCCTCACTGCCTCTCATGACCCCCAAGCATGGCCCTGTGCTCGTCCCTTCTTCACTGCTATTAGAAAACACCTGACAAGCATGACTAAAGGGAGACTTATTTGTTACTCTTGGTTCATGGAAATTTCAGTCCGTCATGGTGGAGCAAGTACAGCCAATCAGCGTCCTCCACATGACTGTCGCCAGTGGGGGGCTGAGCATCAAAACGTAAACCTCGGGGGACGTTTTGTATTGAAACCAGCACGTGTTGGGACTGCTGTTTCTATCCCATGGGCTTCTCTAAGTTTGAGTATCATAAAACAAAGCAGAAATTATCTCTGTGTCATAAAGAAGGGTTTGCGTCTGCTCTAACATCTGGATAGTGGTAGGTTCAACAGACCTGTGAAGTATCTTTCTCTTTGATCTCTGAATCCTGTCTGCTCAGCCCTTTTTGTATCACTGGGTGGAAGAGTGGGCTCCAGATGCCTTGTGGTGCAGCCTATGCAAGGTCCAGGTCAGGACTCTGGCTGCAGAAAGATGTAAGGCTCTGGGGGTAGAGCTGGAGTCTTCTACCCCTCCCACAAGAGATCTGGAAGTCAAATCCAAAGTCCTGACCTAGTATCCTTGCATGGAAGCACGGAAGTTGGTGTTAACCCCCAAAGGCTAGGGCTTGGAGGCCAGGCTGCAGAAGGGGTGTCTCTACCACCCAGGGGAACTGGCTATTGCTTACCAACCCATTCCCACTGTGACAGCAATGTTAAAAGCATCAGCTGGCTCCTCTGACCCCAACCATGTCTCAGAGCTCTGTGGCTAAAGCGGATGCCTTGCTCCGGTAGTAGGAGGCAGAATCTGTACTTCTGCCATGGCTTGGAAGCACAAAGAACCTCTTCCTATGTATATCCCTGCTCACACCCTGGATACCTGCTTTATTGAGGCTCTGTTCACACCCACACACCTACACATTAGTGTGGCCTGCTTACTCCCCAGACACACACCTACACACTAGGGTGGCCACACTCACACCCTGTACACCTACACATTAGTGTGACTTGCTTACTCCCCAGACACACACCTACACACTAGTGTGGCCCTGCTTGCACAGCACACACCTACACATTCATGTGGCCATACTCACACCCTAGTCACCTGCATGTTAGTGTGGCTTTCCTTGTACCCCCCACACCTACACAGCAGTGCAGCCCTGCTTGCATCCCACACACCTACACATTAGTGTGGCTCTCCTCACACCTCACATACCTGCACGTTAGTGTGGCTCTCTTCGCACCCCTCCCCCACAGTAGTGCAACCCTGCTTGCATCCCACACACCTACACACTAGTCTTGGGGAGAGAGGTTTGCTGCAGGCCTCAGAGCGTGCTTACTTCACTGGGAGCCATCCTCCTCCCTCCACCCCCATCCTGGTCTCAGTGCAGCTCCTTGTCTTGGCTGCTGACCTTCCGCTGTAGTCATCCTCTCCCCTGGGCCCTGGAATCGATTTTCTTCCTTGTGGCATGTAAAGATTCAAAGTTTGCCCCTTGCTCCCTATCCCGAGAGACCGCCTACATTAGCAGCTTTGTTGGGGACAGGGCAACAAGCGCTGGCCATCCCCCGTGGGGAGGGGTAAGAGGGGGGTCCCTGGAGCATTGCTCAGTTTGTGAGTGGTGTCTGTGTCCCAGGGTAGCTGTTAGGTTCTGGGGGCTCAGTGGGGGCTGGTCTCACTTTCGGTAGCTCCTTCACCAGCTTTCTTTTAAATCAAGAATCAGCCCCTCTTATCTCTCAGCATCTGAGTTAGTCCTCAGTGATCTCTTGTGGCCTTCCCTACTGTGAAGGAGGAGAGGTACAAATGCAAGCTGAGCTAACTTCTGTGTGTCTGTGGTAGTGCTCTCTTCAACTTTAGCATCTTGGATTGGGGCCTCCTGACCCTAGGCCACCAGGGTCCTTCCTGCTATCTCCTGCTCACAGTCTCTCAGGCCTGGGCCTAGGTGTATTGTCTCTACCCTCCCAGTCCCGCCCTGTTTGCCCCTTCCCCCGCTTGCCCTGCTGGCCTAGCTAGCTCTTCCTTGTCTTAAAGGAACAGTGGCAATTCTAGTTGTCAGGGTTTTTAGCTGGA